TCTCTCTCTCTCTCTCTCATAATTTCTAAATCAATTACTTTAACACACAATACAATCCATACATTTTCATTACACCGTTCACTCATCGCTACCCATACCTACCTTCCCTCTCACTCCTTCCCCATGACTACCCCTACCGTCTCAACCAATCAAAAAACACAACAACTAATCAAACTTAAAACCTAATCACACAATTATCACCTAAACAGGTCCAGGGCTTCTTCGACATCCCGGTGGACAACCTACGGGCCTCACCGTTCCTTCTGCAGTACATTCAGGAACAGATACCCGACTACCGGAACGCCGTGATTGTGGCCAAAGACCCGGGTTCGGCCAAAAAGGCCACCTCCTATGCCGAGCGCTTACGGCTGGGAATCGCCGTACTTCACGGCGAACAGAAAGAGTCGGACGCCGACGAAGTGGACGGCCGATACTCACCGCCCATCGACTCGATGGCCGCCGGAGGGGCTGTCGGAGGCGGCGGCGGTGGCGGAGAGTCGGTGGTGAAGATATTTGACGTGGGTTTGGATCCGATGCCCACACAGGCGGCCAAGAATAAGCCGCCGATGACAGTGGTGGGCGACGTGGGCGGCCGTATAGCCATTATGGTGGACGATATGGTGGATGACGTGCAACAATTTGTGGCCGCCGCTGAGGTGTTGAAGGAGAGGGGCGCGTATAAGATATACGTGTTGGCCACCCATGGGCTGCTCAGTAACGACGCGCCCAGGTTGATCGAAGAGTCCCATATTAACGAGGTGGTGGTCACCAACACAGGTATGTGCTCTCTCGTTGACTCTCTCTCTCTCTCTCTCTCTCTCTCGTAATCATTGACTGAATTAACTAATTGTTTGTCTAATGTTTTCATTGAATGAACGCAACAGTTCCACACGAAGTACAGAAAATGCAATGCAATAAAATCAAGACAATTGACATATCGGTACTGTTGGCCGAAGCCATACGTCGGATACACAACAAAGAGTCCATGTCTTACCTGTTCCGCAATGTGACGCTTGAGGACTGATACCCCACCCGTACCCCTAACCCCCTTTGTTCCGCCACCCGTCCCGACACATGTGTTATCCATTTATATTATACACAAACAGATATCTATTGTTTTTTTTCCTATCACTCGATCTCTATATATCTCTATATTTGTATTGAATTTGTATTTATAAACACATTTTGCTGTGTAATTGATGCCCACTTTATAGTGTACTCCCGCTATAGTTAACACTATCACCCCATATGGTGTAGTTCAGTATTCAAGTGTGCAAACAACCCCTCTCTCAAAAGTCTGGGAATCTCATGAATACCAGTATTTTTTTCATTGAGTGAATTTATAGCGAGTATTAACTGTAGTTTTAATGTCGATTGTTTTGTTTATAATGATCCGTACACTTTACGTAAATGATTTTTGTATTACTATCTAGTGTGTGATTAATGGCCAGTAAATTAATCTTGGGTACATTTTTGTAATCATTTTGATTGTGAGAGCTTATTATTTAGCCATATATTTGTGATTATTTTTTTTTGTTGCAAAACAATTGCTGTGTTTTGTCTCACAATTTTGTGTTGAGATTTATTTGAAGTAATTTTGCTTTTTTTTGTTTAATTAATTTTGAGTACAATTTTTTGGTTAATTTTAAATTAATTATTATGATAACTATTGGAGAATTTTTTTTTATTTGCCAATTAATGTAAAACAAGTTAAATTTATATATTTTTACGGAATCTCTCTCTCTCACGATATAATTGTACTGGATAGGAATAAACAATTTTTAAGTTAAAATAATATTCAATTTATAATCAAATTTTTATTATTTAATACTCTTGAAAAAATAATACAATTAAATGATTTTATAACTAATTCTCTCTCTAACTATTAAATTAGTTATAAAATCATTTAATTGTATTATTTTTTCAAGAGTATTAAATAATAAAAATTTGATTATAAATTGAATATTATTTTAACTTAAAAATTGTTTATTCCTATCCAGTACAATTATATCGTGAACACAAATTATACCAAGTTCTAATAGTAGTAATAATGACTTATTAAATGTTTTATTTATCAAAATATATTTCCAAACAATTATATTTCAATTCGAAAAACTACCTAAACATTCATTTAATTAAAAAATACATTTCAATTCATATACAGTCTGCACCGCATTTATCGGTCCCACATATAACGGAAAACCGCATATAACCAAATATTTTTTCTGCACCGGCAGTTCCTAAGTCTAAGTCTATTACAGGGAATAACAGAAAACCGGCTATAACAGAATAAAATTAAACTCACCGAGTGCTTCTGTTAAATGCGGTGCAGACTGTATATTCAACTTTCCTACAGATAATTGTCGCTATAATATACTCTATATTTTAAGGCCACATAAACAACACACGGGAACATAACATTATGTGTCATACGGGGGTAAACCAAACAACTCGGGTCGGAATTCTGTTAACGAGTTCAAAGTGATTGTGGGTTTGGCCAATTCGCGGGGCATATCCTTGGCCGGCACCCACACCGTCTGACAACCGGCCGACTGGCCAGCCTTCACACCGGCCGGCGCGTCCTCGAACACCAACACATTGGCCATAGACATGGGCTGAGTGTCGAAACGCTTTACGGCTACCTGTGCTCGCAAAACAAAATCACCATAATTGTAATTAAACTTGTTTAATTAAGCTAATAATTAAAACAGTAATGTTTATTGAATAACTAGCTATTAATAATGATATGAGAACTTTAGGCTACACACTATTTTAAGCTACATTTATGACTAGTGTTTAAACAACTATAAAACTTAGTTTATATAAAGTTTAGTTATGTTACC